AGGGTTTCTTCTGACATCCATTTTTGTTTTTTCTTTCTCCTCTGCTCATGGATCCTCATGGATAATAATATCCTTGAAGTCATCCTACCACTCATCTGGTCTTCAGTCACTGGTGTCCAATGCTTCTAGTTTTTTTTAAATACTCATTTATTTACAAAGTTCGAATACATTGTTTTTCACACAAGATCTTTCCCATTTCCTTAAACGACATACACATCAAATTGTGCAACCCTATCATTAATATACCTCCCTTGTCCATCCTCAGTCCTCTGCTTCCACCTTTACCACCCCCTCCAGATCTTCATACTCATTCTACAATAATGACTTTATACAGTATTTGTCTTTACGGGACTGAGTTAGTTCACTCAGCATAATGCTCTCCAGTCCTATTCTTTTTTTTTAAATTTTGACTGCTTTATTTTATAAAATTTTACAAAATCTTTCCTTTTTCAAATTACAAATGTTTCATATGCTCTAAATCTCAGAAAAAAGTTATTTTTATTTCATTATAAATGTTACCATTACTTATGAAGAGTAGATCCAAACAATAATTTGTTCAAGTTTAATATGGATAACCACACACTATCAATTATTTTCTGGAGACTAACTGAAGTAGATCATTTATTAATTTCCCCATTCTAAAGCCTTCATAAATTCCTCTTCAGTGAAAGACAGCATCTTTGCAGCTTCAATATGCATCTGTTAAAAAAAATGTCTTTAGTATTTTGATCACAACACAACAGTTAATGTGTGTGCATGTATAATATATATGCCATTCAGATTTTGAGTATTTTGTTGTAGAGATGTGCTCTCTAATTAAAAAAAAAGTATTTGAAATCATAATTATATTCATGGGCCAGCCCATAAAAAGCCTATGCCTACAGTAGCATTGAACCTTACTGTTAAAAGATTAATTCAATATTAGTGGGTAAGCAATTGTGCTTCCAACCCAAAGGCAGTGAAGAGGTAGTCTGAATCTACCAGCTGCTCTGCATTAGAAAGATAATTATTCTCCTTCCATGTGATTGCAGCTTCTGAAAACCTGCTAGTGGGTCAGCTAGGAAGAGGCAGCTTCAACTTGACAGAATGAACAACAACAGTGTAATACCTGACCTTTACAAAAAAGTAAAAGGGGCAGAAGCTTGTGGCAAGATTGGAACTCTCATGAAATGCTGATGGGATTGTAAAATGCTATAAAACCTCTGGAATGCAGTTTGGCATTTCCTCAAAAAGCTGAACATAGAAATTCCATATGACCAAGCTACTGCATTGATAGGAATATACCCCAAGGAAAGCAGAACTGAGACACAAAGGAGATCTGTATGTACACTGATATTTATAGCAGTGTTATTCACAATAGAGAGAAGGAAGAAAAAAAAAAAAAGAAAACAGCCCAAGTGTCTATCAACAAATGAACGGATTTAGAAATTGTGGTACTTTCAAATTATGGAATATTATGCAGCACCAAAGAATGATGATTTAAAAATATGTAACATGGGAGAGAATGGAGAGTATTATGCTGAATGAACTAACTCCATCTCCTAAGGACAAATACCACACAAGATCATTATTGTAAAAATAGAAGGCTAACTGGTAAGATGTGTATAAAAGTCCAAAGGAGGAAATCATGAGGTCGCAGAGTTGGTGAAGGGGTATGTATGAGGGAATTAGGAAAGATCCAGTGAGGATCTGAAAAGATGGGTAATAATGGGCATATAACAATGGTGATTAATTTTATAAAGCAATGTATGGGAATGATCATATGAATGAAATAATGTGTGAAACACAGTGTTACTGTATATGAATGAAACACAGTACTTACAATTTTGTATGCAAACCAATGTAAAATTTTAAAAAGTATAAAAGACCCATCATAAAAAATTACTTGCATGAAAACAAATAAGAATTGCTGGCGTATTTTTACAATATACCTTATATATTTTCCACATTTAATCTATTTTGAAAAATTTTAACTAATAAGACAAAAATTCAACATCTTACATAAAAATGGTAACTTTTTAACTTTTTAAAAACAATATACTTACCTTCTGCCTTTTTAAAACATCGATTAATTTCAGTTGTTTTTTAAACCCTATCATTAGTTCTCCTTTTTGCTTTTCTAGCTTCTTATTTTCTAATTTTAAGGTTTCAATTTTTTTCTGTTCTTCATTTGTTATATCCTACAAAAGAGAAAATAGTGTATTTTCTTTATTGAATGTTGTTGTTAATTGCCATTAAATTGACCATGACTCATGGCGACCCTATGGGGGGAAAAAAAGGCTTGAAGCCTTTTTATAACCATCATAGAGGGAAACTATGAACATTCTTGAATATGTATCTTTAAATAGAAAGATTAAAAGAATTATCAGTAATTCAGGGCCATCTCAAATGTAGACTTTTTTAGATAAAATTTCTCAGTATTAATAAATTATTAGCCCTTTGAAAAACTTTAATACGTTGCCGCAAATGACGGCTATAGGGGGGAAAAAATGTGTTTCTAAGCACAGCCATCATCAATTTAAAAGTGTGCGGCAACATCTCATTTAAAAAAAAATAAATCAGTTCTAGTTCCATTGATGGCAAATAGTTAATATGAAACCACATTTATTGATAATACAATCTCTGAAAAATCTTGAAAAGACACATTTGAAGGCAAAATAATGAATAGGTAGGATTAGCTAGAAGTGATAGAACTCATAAAAGAAGGAAAACAAACTGGCTGAGATCCACATTCAGCTGCAAGTACGACCCCACCTCTTGGGCTCACAGGGGACAGATTCCATGCAAAAAGTAGTCAGTTTCTTGAAGAGTAGAGTAAGGCTGTCAGAGTGGTTGGAAATTTCCAGGCAGGAAATCCTGAAAGAGTGAGATCCCCAGACCAGGAAGTCTTCAATATTTGCATATATTTGCTCCTCAACTCTTTGTCTGGTACCTAAGTACCAAAAAGTAGGATTAAAGTCCAAGAAGTGTAAAGAGCTAAGCAGAAATTTTACCCACTTTTCAGTGCAAGGAGACAGAGTTTATAATTTTGTTTAAAATTCAGTGGATGACCATAGCAGTAATTTGGACACTGCAGAAGAACTGATGAACACTGAGAGTAATAAGTAGAAATTACTAAAGTACAGGAAGATCTGTACTTCAAGGAATGTTAAAAGAAGTTTCAGGCAGTAGGAAAAATAAATGATAATAACAGGAAGTCTGAGTCAATACACACCCACATACTAAAAAGAAAAATATTATTTTTTAATAGAAAATTTTTAAAGATGGTTTTGTAAAGCAAAAATCATAGACTTTGTATGTGTAAAGTGAAATGTATGAAACGAGCAGAAGAAGAAATGCTCAGGTGAAATAGATTGTTAAAAGGTTATTGCAAAAAAAAAAGTTACTCCATCATTCATAAAATGCTGTAATTCTTGAAGATAGCTGGTAGTAAGTTAATGCCAAAAGTATACAAAAGCAGCAGAAATCGTAAGCCAAAAAGAAGACAGAAAAGAATCATATACTCAATTCTAAAGAGAAGAAAACAGAAATAGAAGAACAGATGAGCTTACTGTTATGTACCATCGAGTCACGTGCAATGCATAGTCATCCCATGTTTAGCAGCTCTGAAGCCTGCCCTGTCCTGAGGCCCACTGCCCCAGTTACTGTATCTTCAGTGCATCTCATCCAGGGTCTTCCTCTCCTGTGCTGTCCCTCCACCCTTGCGAGCATCATGTCCTTCTCCAAGGAGTGGTCCTTCCTGGCCATTTGCTCAAAGGCCAGATGAGTTGTGGGAGGATATCAAGGGTATCATCCAGGAAGAGTGCAAACGGTCATTGCAAAGACAGAAGAGGAAGAAAAGACCA